TTTCTAATATCAATTTCATTTAATGCGGATAGGACAAATTTCCTCATACGCAGGTTGCGTGTGTGTTTAGTTTTACACACAGACACTTTAACGCGGCTTGACTCTAGAGATGTGGGATTCATGCACATTGTGCAAGATTCTTTATTTTACATTCTTTAAGGTTTTGCGGCTAAATATCCGCTGATGCAGCGTAGCACGTGATCAGAAAACAAGACAACAAAGACTGTGTCTTGTAACACTTATAATATTACGGCCGGTTTCCCGCCAAATGTTTTATCATGATTCAGAATGGAATATCATATTTGGAATGGAAAAGAACTTGATCTTTTTTGATATATTTGAACTTTATGATAACGTAGATAAACATTGCAGGTGGAACGATAGAGGCTTCATTTATCTCTAAGGCACAAATTTTTATGGTTTCGAACGTGATGCTGCGAGCGTGGCGCTCTTGTTTTGAAGGTACGAAGCGTTGCGCAAAATTCTTGAAGACCGGATATTCTGTAACTTCGCGAAACGCTAGACACGAGTTAGTCTAGCGATCTGAGCAGAACAATAATTCCGCGTATTAATTTTCAGCGATGCCGCTTATTCCGTCGCAAATTGCCAACATGACAATTTCGTGCCATTATGGACAATTATCGCGCGCCAAGCAGGACAGGATTCGACGCGCAAAAATGCCAATTACGATCATCGGACAGATAATGGTTTTGCGGGCGGAACAGGAAAGGTGCAGTAGAATTACATTGCGAAAAACTATTTCGCAAGTAAGGAATTTATTTGCGTGGCGTCGACGCAAACAATCGTGTCGATTAAATCAAGACACGTGTATGTAGACGTACGTATCTTCGGCATACTGCATGTCAACTGATAAGAATTGAATTCTTGCCGGCGCGAATGATTAGTGTCGCGGGTCTCTCTGGCGACGAGCATTACATATTCCATCGTAAGCCATCGTACGCGCCACGACACACGGTGGTCACTGCGGCTTGACTCTGTTTGTGTAGCAGTCGTTTCCTGAACGTCGATATTGCCTCGGCAAAGACATCGAGGAAGGTGATCACAGAGGTTTCACAGAGGAAAAGATTTTGGTATGTAATAATTTTTTTAATTAATTGTCAAATTAATACTCGGCGACGTGATGTGTGATTTTCGCGTAAAAGATTACATTTATTTTTAGCTGAATTTTATTTTTTTTTTTTAATTTTATTTTATCTTATTTTTTTATAGACAAATGTAATATATTTTAAATAAAAAAAAGCACAAGATGTGCCGTTTCATTTTTATTTTCTTTCTTGAACACCGTCAATATTTGGATTGACATTAAAATTTTTTTGGAAATTGGAAAAGTGTTATATAACTCCGGTTACTTAATTAAATTAATTTTATAATTTTTGTGCGTGTTTTAAACAACAAACCGCGAGCTTTTCGTGCAATGTTTGAAGAACGCGTGTATCAATGTGAATTATATAAACGCGCGTGTAAGCGTTCGCCAAATGACTTATTAATACTGTAGTTTAAAAATAAAGTAGCGGCAATGTTTATTTCATGTATTTTCACGAAAAATGTCTGCGTCGGTGCGAGCTCACTGCGCGTTTTGTTTTCACTATGCACAATGTCGCTTCAATTTAAAAATAACATTTAAAATCTAGCGTTACGTTGTTAGCAATGTGCATGCTTGTAAACTCTTTATTATGTTACTCTTGTACTTTGCATGAATTTTTCATGTTTTGCAAGCTTATTTTGCGCACAAATGTGCGCGATTTGTCATATTTAATTGTGTAATACTGATCTCATTAAAAATCAACAAGTATATTGAATATATTTGCATTGAAGATTAATCAGCACATTTTCTTGCGACATTTTGCGGTTTAATATATGGAATCGATTAACGAAAAAGAAACAGGAAAGGCAGTTTATCGTTTCTCAAAATTTATCATTTTTCACGCTAAATACTTAAAAGAGTGTGTAACGTTTAATCGACACTTCCGGGATTTTGCAACTCGATGGCAAATATCTTTGATGTGTGATACCAAATTCTTATCAAGAGCTTTCGATTTGAGTGCTATTGCAGTTATGAAATACGAAATAAAAAGGAAAATCTGTGAACTTAAAGTCAAACTGTTATATTTACATTATGTTCGACTAATTACTCGCGATTTCGCTGTATAATTTTGCACTTTTGGAGCTACAGCGTCATTTCGACGAACGGAAAATTATGGTGAAACGAAAATTATTGAATGAGGACCTCGAGACCACACGCGTTTAGTTACATAAGAAACCGCAGTGCGTTATACAAATCATTTTTGCATAATTGATGAACTTTAAGCGGTGAAATATCTGTTTAAACAAGCAAGAATTATGTCGTTCCGTTTTTACTTTACCTTTGGTAAACTTTTAATGATCTACTGTGCTTTGTGTGCACACTTCTTCTTTCTTGATAAAATGTGTCTTTAGTAATGTGAAAAGAATTTTTAAGTTTTGAAGTGATATAATAAATTTAAACACGCATATATGAGTTGTGTGTGAAAATCTGTCGCTTGAAGACTGTTTCAACAATGTTCACATTTTTATATATCAAGCATTGTCGCAGTCGTATTTAATTAACCTACATTTATTTATAAATGATATAATTTTAAGTTGCAAAATGCACATTAATATCATAATATAGATTTAACGATTTTTTTATAACAGCTCAAGCATTTTGAAAAATTCGTCAAATAGAAAATGTGGATGTAATCGGATATTCACGAAAAATCTACATGTACCACGCGATATCGCGCGTTATTCACATTTTAGCAAGACAAGATAAGGAGTACGTGAATGCACTTTGATGGATAAGCTTCGAAAATGTTCACATACAAACAAATTAAACTATATAACGAAAAAAAACACTCACATATCACATTGTCTTGCGTATATATTATATTCTGTTAATTGATTTATTACTTTGAATTAATTTAGCAGAATTCACGGTTTGATTATATCACATATCCTGTTTGTTTAGATTTCTTAAGTGATCTACGCGTTATCTGTATGACAAATCGGCTACGAAATTTTTTTTTTTTTTTAAATAACGATATTTATTATCGCGAGTTTAGTTAAAGTGCCACATCGGGGATACTCGTATCGCAGGCGTAATCGTTTTTCTTACAGTTAATCTGCGTTCTTCATTGCACTGATTAAGTGGACGTGGTCAGAAATTGTGGCAGTAAAGTTTGTTAATACCTCGGGATTCGTGTTTAATCTCATCGTGTTTAATCTCATCGACGCTTCAAATTTAACCCTTGGCACTTGGCTGATATCGTGCTGATATCGTTACAGCATTCACGAGATAACACGTTTGCGGCAATCTCATTTGTAGATGCAAGTGTTTGTACTAGAAGCTCCGCTCCGCTCCGCTCCGCTCTGCGCTTCGCATTCATTCCAAATTTGTTAATGCCTAAAAAGGAATTATAGGAGTTATCGATGTAGAATGATAACCATATGTCAATGAAGGGGCTCGACTTTGACAATATTTACCCAGTTTTGACAGCCAGGCAGTTTTAGATAAGGAAACAAACCAAACACTTTCGATAAATTGAAGAATAGTATTATGGGAAAATATTGACACGGCATAATTATGAGATAATCGTGATGGAATAATCTAATCGCAACTACGAGAAAAATTCCACTTACGATCAAAAATTTCGTATGTGTCGCATTTGCGTTCGGCAAATATCGCAAGTAATGCGCATTTCGATCGTGCAAGCATTTCGATTGGTGTTATCGGATGATGCGTGAACTATGATATATTAATCGTAAATTTGATGGCCTGTAAAATTGTAACTTGGAAAGCGACGGTGCTGATAAAAAAGGAATTATTCGAATGGAGATTAATCGCGCTGCAGTACTGCAAATTGTGCTGCCGGCGCGAAGGTGAAGGTTCGCGATTTTAGATAACGAAATGACACATGAGCTATATACATCGAGAAACGACCGTGTTATAGGAAATGGAAAAGTGCAATAAATCTTATAAATATTATTAACGTCACGTTACGAGAGATGCTATCAAAAATAAAGTCTTCATTGATAATATCAAATAATGAGATATCACATTACGCGTGTGTAATTTTATCTTATCTTGTTGAATAATTTTACACTTATATTTTGGAATTATTATTTAGAATTGCGGAGCATTTTTTATACTTATTCTATAAAATTTCTTGTCTGAACTTTTGATGGGCTAAAGAAAATTTTTATGTATATGTGTGGGTCGCAACATGTACTGCTAGTTGGTGTGCACTAACCGATTGCGTCGCGTACAGTTTACGTAATCCTTATTGTTATCGGAGTACCGGAGCAATAACAGAAAAATTTGTCTCTTCTGCTCTGTTATCATTCGCCATCTGAAATGTCACGTATGCAAATGCTGATTCTTTTCGCCGCAGCTTCCACGCTGCAGCTATAATTGAACGAAATTTTTTTTCGATACATCTTTTACTGCTAGCTCACAAGTATCGCAAAACTGCGAAATGTGTGACATAAGTAATAAGATGATTTTGATTTTATCAAAAGTTAAGATAAAGCGAAAAGAATTGAAAAATGAAATAAAACTGAGACTTTTCCATGTTACTTTAAAATGTCAACTAATATTAATATAAAATAGCTATCTGTAGATAAGAACGATAAAATTCACGTGCTTTTTTTTTTTAACAGCAAGAAACAACTTCTCTTGCATTCTGCAATCTCTTATCCAGCATTTTCACTTTTATCTAAATTATTTTTCTTTTATTACGCATCACACAAGTGTTACGGTATTTTTTACAGTCGTCTTCTGCATTTTTCTATAATGTGTAATCGTTTTCTTCGACGCGTTATCACGTAATCTCATGTGTACAATAAATGAGGTATTGTCAGAATTGCGCTCTTTACACGTGTCACAATCGTAGCAATGTGTAAATCAAAATCACGTCGCTTGAGTTAAGCTTTAATAAAGAATATGAATTTGTAATACGGCTATACTGTATTTTTTCAGATACAGCAGATAGTATCAATAATTTACGCCAATTTGTTCATTTATCAGTAAAAATTTGGTTAACATGAAGTGAACGATGTAATATTATACTATCAGTTATCTGCTATCTCATGTTGGTTGAACAACTAAGTAGCATATACCGAAATGCGAAGGTTGGAAATACTTGAAATTTCGCTTCTATATCTTGAATTTCGCGTGATAGTAGCCGCATGTGATGTATTAGATTGTGATAATCTAGCGATATGATAGAGATAACTACATATCAAAGTCAGAAAATCACGATTATATGTGTTATATTACACATCATATATATGACGCAATGATGATTTTTTTAATTCAGAGAATTGCTTGACGTTAAATTGTAAAATCTTTTGTAAATATTAGCTACAAGTATAATACAAAGTTCGCTTGAAATCCAATTTTAACGATGTGCAACTCGCAATAAAGAATAGAGAAATCCATATAGAATCTTATATAACAAAGAACTTTGGAAAAATACATATCGCTGTATGTGTACGTACTCTAATTTTTCAAATGCTTCCAGTTCATTATTGCACAGCACATAAAGATAAAAATAAAATTTTATTTTGAAATCTATCGCGAATTTTATAGGTTTCATAAAGTGCGTCTAAGTATTAGAAATGATGTGTTAATTAATTAAGAAGAATTAACTGATGCGAAAATGTAGAATTAAAAATTTGGAACTGCCTATTGTGTCTAAGAGTTAAGACTTTTTTTATTTAAGATTATAATTTTTTTGTGTAGCCTCGTATGTCTTATCATGCTTTGTAAACGCTCATTTCAAGTTCACCTGTAACTTATTTATGATTATGCATAATCTTAAATGCGGCTTTCCGTTGCAGATAAGAACATGCAGTCTTACATTTACATATGCGCAAGAAAATCTAGATATATCAAACAGTGATCATACCGTAGCATTTAGCACAAAAGAATTTTGCTGCGTAGATTGCAAAATTGAGGAAAATACTGATAGTATTGAATTATGTATGTAACATTAACATGAAAAAAGAAACAAAAGCTGGAAGTACAACAGAAGCGAGGAATGCTACACGCTAGTAAGTCATTTTTCAATGACGCATATTTTAAACATAATTCAAAAGACAATAAAAGACGAAATAATTCAAGATTCAAGACGACTTTATTTATGCAATTAAGATATTATTTCTATAATGTTAAAAGTTTTATAGAAAATAAAGAAATATATAGAACGGTTATCGCGCGCGCGCGCGCGCGCGATCGGTATTTTCTGCTTTTACCGCTGCAGTTCGAAACTGATTTTGTATTTTCGCCAATAGATGTCAAGCGCGATTTCTAGCAGCTTATCGTATCGTTTTTTATACCGCAGTACATATCATGTATCAACACAAACCGCGAAGCAAGATAAACAACACAGTGAATTCGCATTGACATGCACATGTCCGTTAATATTCGCCTAACTGTCACGCGACACGTCAATCGTTCTGTAAATGTGGAATTTGATACGTTTTATGTGAGAATTCGTTCTGTGAGCTAAAATATCCATCAAAATGATGACGAATTGTACATGGGAGGCCGAAAATACGGCACCAACATGTTCGAACGTACGTAATTCTATATCATTATATGTCCTTTCAGCATTCTTTGTTTAGTGTTCTTTTGTCACTCACGTGATGCTAATAATGATGTGACAAATTGTTTAAATTCTTGATTCCATTTTCATTATTTTATATCATTATCACAATTTTATTTTTCAAATTTTTATTATCTTGTCATTGTCATTATTTTAAAAACACAGCAAATTGTAGGAAACATTTAGACAGAAAAAAGGGATTTCTATCCTTCCAGTTTTATATAAAAGATCAAGATGCTTCTAAAGATATATTTATTTATTTAACAAATTTAATCAACACTATGAAAGATACTATGATTTTGTTACTGAATCATATAACAGCTCATGTGTATAGAGCTTATTTTAACAGTAGTTAATTTTTTTTCAGGACGAGAGAACACCACTTTTGTCAGCGAGTGGGCAACAAGACAGCATGGACAAAGTTGGCATCTCACAGCAGACCTTGGTCTCCAATGGCTCAATTGTGAAAGCCAAGAGGTTACCACAGTATCTGGCATGTATAGCAGCGACTCTCGGTGCTGTTGCTGCCGGTATGGTGCTTGGTTGGACATCACCAGCTGGTAAGGATGGCGTAAATCTAATAGCAGACTATGGAATACACACCACTGCAGAGGAGTTCTCCTGGGTGGGCTCGCTCTCCACTCTCGGAGCGGGCGCGATATGCATACCCATCGGTATACTAGCAGACAAGATTGGCAGAAAATACGCCATGTTGCTCATGGTGGTTCCGTTCAGTGTTGGTTGGTTACTTATTATTTTTTCCAACTCGGTTCTCATGTTCTTCTTCGGTAGATTCATTACTGGCCTCAGCGCAGGAGCCTTTTGCGTGGCTGCGCCTCTCTACACATCGGAGATAGCCGAGAGCGAAATTCGTGGTACACTCGGCTCATACTTCCAGTTGATGCTGACCGTGGGTATCCTGCTCTCGTATTTTCTCGGATGGGCCATACACAACATGAAGATCTTGTCGATCATCTCGGGAATTGTGCCATTGATCTTTTTTGGAGTATTCTTCTTTATGCCGGAGACGCCGATCTACCATTTGAAGAAGGGCGACGAGGAGGCTGCTAGGAAGAGCTGGATTAGACTTCGCGGCAATCATTATGATGTAGAGACCGAGTTGCAGATGGAACGCGAAGCGCTCGATAACGCCAGTCGTAACAATGTGTCTTTCATGGACGCAATTAAAACCCGCGCTGCTAAGAAAGGCCTGGTGATCGCTTTCGGACTCATGCTCTTCCAACAAATGAGTGGTGTGAACGCTATCATATTTTACTCCTCGGATATCTTCACGCAAGCTGGAAACGCCATCCCGCCCGACGTGGCCACCATCATTGTGGGAGTGGTGCAAGTGATATCGGTCTTCTTTGGTTCCCTTTTCGTCGACAAGCTCGGCAGGAGGTTGTTGCTACTGGCATCGATCTCTATCATGTTCCTGACGACTCTGATCCTCGGAGTTTATTTCTACTGCATCGAGAACAATAACGCCTTCGATGACATCACCTGGTTCGCACTCATTCCGCTGTGCCTCTTTCTCGTTGTGTTTTCCTTAGGCTTTGGACCAATCCCGTGGATGATGATGCCAGAGATCTTCGCGCCGGAAGTAAAGGGCATCGCCGGCAGTAGCGCCTGCCTCTTCAACTGGCTTGTAGCCTTTGTTGTCACCAAGTTTTACACCAACATGACTGCGGCTGTGCATGGTTACGGTACTTTCTGGATATTCTCTGGATTCTGCGTGGTCGGCACCATCTTCGTTTATTTGTTGGTTCCAGAAACTAAGAATAAAACGCTCGACCAGATACAAAGGGAACTGAATCAGGATTGAAAGTACTTTTTTTTCGTGAAGAAAAACATAAATCTGTATATATTTTAATACACATTTTAATAGATATTACCGTTTTAAATCGAAGCACGAATTGCAATCTGATAATTTTGCACTGATTCAGTATAACAGTGTAAGAATGTATTTATCCCATTAATGTAATACTGTTAAATATTTTCGTATCATTTTATTATGCCATAGTACTATTTTAACTCTCACCCAGATCGTTCATGGCTTAAGGACAAAAAACTATGTTTTTTTTATCATTAAGTATTAGTATCGCATTTTGAAGAAAGAGCTTCAGTAATATAAGAGTTGATTGTAATACAGTCTTTTGAAAAAAATGGAAGTTTTGCAAGTATTATCAGTTGTTTAGCCGTTCGAGAGTTAAAAATAGTACCGGTATCTTAATGATACTGTCGATTGTTAATGTATATACTGAGACTGATCTTTTGTAAACTTGTATAAAGTCTATATTAAATTGATTATTATTTAAGTTAACCTATATTCTCTTATCTGTACATATATGCTGTATATATACTATATATATATATGTCATTACATGTACTAATTTTTATTTACTGCAAATACGTCGTTGAACATTTAATCTCGGATTGCAATTTATTTTTGAAATTGCAAATAAATGGTATGTTACTGAAATCTACTTTATCTATCGTCAGAATTGTAAAAGTTTGTTTTATCAATCGATTTTTTACGAGTCATTTCACATTTTTTCTTATAGATGTCTACACATTCATGTTTCAAGTGTTAGATCATTATAAATTCTGTTTTACAATGGCAATGCTGGAAGTCGCAAAATTTTTGAATTTTTAATTTGTTGCCTAAATAATGCATATATTTAATGAATTTCGAATCGTTCTTTAATAACATGTAAGTATTCAACAGAATTTCTTTTTACATACGTTGTTATTGATGCATACAGGGTGATTCAAAATAACTTGATGTCCTTGCAATGCCACATTCTTGAGCGAATTCTGAGACGATTTTTCCTTTTACAAAATTTTGTCCGAAGCTTAGTTATCGAGTTATAATTGAAAATAGTTTGCTACTTACGAGTCCGATACAACGGACAGACAGGGACGGTGTAATGTGTCATGAGACGATAGTAAACACTTGACAGTCTTATACGTTGCGCGTCCCTGCCTGCCCGTTGTACCGAACTCGTAAGTTGCTATCTATTTTCAATTATAACTCGAAAACTAAGCTTCGGACAAAATTTTGTAAAAGGAAAAATCGTCTCAGAATTCGTTCAAGAATATGGCATTGCAAGGACATCAGGTTATTTTGAATCACCCTGTATATACGGGGGCGTTGCAACCATCTTAAGTGCCCCTAAGTGCTGGAAGAGGGTCGGGCGCCCCAAGCGCGAAGCAAAAAAAAAAAAAATAATGTTTCTAGAATTCCTGCTATCATCGCCACGCCACTACGTGGTTTTTACACACTTCAAAAATTATTGGCGTTTATTACAATTTTGCGCCCTACGCTGAAGCGTATATTGCATACTATATTGCAACGCCCCCGCATATATATAAATTGTACAACATGTATGTACAAGCCATACAGTAGTCATTCGTATTTTTAAAGTTGCATTAAATATTGAAATTTAAATATAAATACGTTTCGATTTCTCATTTTAAAACTATCAAATATTAGTTTCTTCAATCATGAAAAAGTTTATTATCATTTAAAAGTTTTTTAGTATAAAACACGACTGTATAAAATACGTTTTTTTGAATATTTTTCAAAAACCTAACCTAACCTAACCTTTTATCTAGAAAGAAAAATAAATAAAGATATTCAGTGATAACGTCAGTATCAAAATATTGATATTGTTGAATGTGTTTTCGATTTTGATCAAAGATTTTGGTTGTAGGATAAGAAGTCATTGAAAGAGGATTCCATGGCGATATCTTTCTGGTTATATCCGGAACATGGTTCGCAGAGCCAAATTCGCGGCGACGCTCTTTGTTTCCCAAATTACAATGTGACGTGCTAAAATCGGCGCTCTTCTAACACTCACGGTGGCGTGATTGCAACTTAAAGCATTACATGCATCCTACATGTGATAGCTAGTAATAGACTGGCCAAATGACTGCAGCCCGTGCACCTACGCATACAACATGCTTCAAAGATAGATTCCTTCGGCTGCACTATGTTACGCATTCTGCATTTAAAACATAGTACGCACACACTCGGGATTTGGAGGAAAAGAGAAGAGGGAGAATTGTAACAACGTACAGACAGCGGCAACTAAAGGGGATAGATTGAGAAGCAGCTGGAATCGCTAGGCGCGGCGTTTTTGCAATATTCGGGTAAATTTATATACTTGGCGCGAGACACGTTTCTTGATTAACATAAATTTATATTAAGTAAGTTTTTATTATTTTTTATGTTAACTTACATTAACATAAATGAATAATTAAATAAAACAGTGCTGTATCAGTTAACGTTGATTGATACATTTAAAATCGCGTATTATGCTCAATTCTCACTGATTTTTCATTTGCAATATCGTATTAATTATTCGTGGAATGCCACAATATCTCATAGATTGATTAGTACACAAATCACATTCTGAATACACTTATCGACTTCATGCATCTCATATTGCCTTGCTCAAATTACCGGGCCGTAGGTTTTAATATTGGTAATAAGAGATCGCAAATTGGCTTTTTTTAAGGTAAAAAAAATAGAAGAAAAAAAAATTTCAATAAATTGATTTCCTAGAATAACTTCTAGGAAATCAATTTATTGAAATCTCCAGAACAGAAATTTAAGAAAACTTAAGAGAAGGTTCCTGTCTTAGCGACTTATTGAAGGCTACAGCCTTCGTATGCGAAATGACCTTTACATTGAATTAATCACCTCATTAATATCAAACAGAACACGGAAACTTCCGATAGCTTGGAAAATTTTGAAAAAGTGGAGCGGATGATGTTTTTCTTATTTAGCGCGACCGTCGACCTTTGCCATGATTAATCAACAATCGCGACCTTATGCAGCAAAAATCTTGACTGAGTGATCATTCTTTCCAACAAGTGGGAGGCAGGAAATTGGTAGGGTTGGGGAAACGATATAATTCTCTCTTTATGTTGATAATAATAAACAAAAAATTAACTGCGTCGCTGACTAATGCGAGATGTTCGATCACGCCGACGACATGCAGGTCATCTGAGAATAAGATGAAATTTTTTTTGTGAATTTCGCAAGCCGAAGCCGTGATTGGACTCGAAAGACAGAAGAAGTAAATATGTGACCCCTCCTCCTAAAAATGTGACAAATTTTGCTTCGACGTAGTTTCGCGATGGAGATTCTTCGTATCTCGTTGTATTTGTATATGTAACTTAAATTTAATTCTTCGACTCGCTAAGACGAGCGCCAACTCTAATTTCTGGAGCTGATTTAAATTTACTCTCGTTAGAAGAGAGGGATTTAGCTTCTTGTTACGGAACCACATAATAAATTGTCATTAGCGCGTGTAAACTTTGAAAAATTTCGCTACGTGGACTTAGTCGCTGAGTAATAATGCAAGTCACGTGTATTATTTCTTCTGTTTTTTACACACAAATTTTTAACTTATTTAAATTATGTTTATATTGTTGAGAATATATTGTTGAGAACATTGTGATTTTCGATCAACACCTCAATAAGTAATTCTCGCAATCACATACGTGATCACTTCATAAAAGTTTTTATTAATAATGACGAATTAAATTTACTGTCTTCTAAGAAACAGTTTGTAAGGGTAGCACTGATGATGGCTGAAAGATCAGCCGAAACGTATGCTGCTTAATTAAAACATTGGTTTCAATAAAAAGTATCAAGAATTACAATCTTCTTTGGCTTGAGATCCTCCTGCTATTCCATCGTTTTGAAATTTGCGAGCCTAAACATCAAGTTATTATTTAAATTACTTGCTTTATTGTGTTTTTTTCTTTGTGCTACTGTGTTGTGCTTCTTTAGATTATTTTTAGAACAAAAACTGGTACTATTACTATTAATAATAACTATGACACGTTATCGCTTCGATGTGCGGCCTAGTATCGCGCGTAGTATCCCCGTAATAAAGCTGGCACATCCACGTTTAAAGACGTGTTGCATTCGTAAAATCTCGATTTTCGCTGTGTAATCGCACGCCGATACTGACAAATTTCTCATTTATTTATATTATTTGTCATTTAAATTGCTATTACAACAAATAAATTTAATGTAAAATGAAAAGACAAAATTTTGAAAAACAAAATTAATTTAATAATTATTCTATCAGAAAAAAAATGTAGAGAAAAACGAAAAGAAAAGAAATATAGATGCGTACGTTCTCATAGAAAAAAATTAAAAGAAAAAACATCAAAATAAGAGGAGAAATATATTTTGCGCAGCACATTGAACTTTAGATGATTGAAATTGAGAATGCTTTAAAGCAGAATTAATTTGTTTTTTTATTAAATCTACTATTAAATTCCTTTTTTTGTCAACGTGACGCAAAGCGGAGCGCGGTTTAACTGTTAATATTATTCTGCTCAGTATCGATCTTCGACGTGCTCGCCGTCGAGCATCGGTGCCGATGCGCATTCACACTGACGATTAGTCAATGAATATCTCTCAATATCAATTACACATCGTTATGTCGCCCTTTACAGATACGTTTCCTGGCCCCGTGCTCGTCTAGAATATGCAGCACCCGAGGAGTAATACGCGGAAAAGGGAGAGGAAGGCCGCGTCGATGCCGACAGAGAGGAAACGAGGAGCTCGCGTGGTTCGTGCCAGCCAATCGCGTTTCTGGATTATGATCCGACTCGTCGCTTTAGTGGGGGAACACGGCCACCTGGTCGCACGGCTCGAAGCGGCGCGGCGCGGCGCGACTCGTGCCGTCGTCACTGTCTGGCTGCGTGATACGCCTCCGCCGGGAGCGTCGCGACGGCATCGCGTCCACCTCGTGCGCTTATTAACCCGTGAATAAGCGCGGCGCGATAAGGAATCCTGCTTCCCCATCGCGGGGTTCATCGGAGTTCGCGCGCGTGAACGGCACTGTCGAAGAAAGAGAGCGAGATAACGCCGCGAGGTGGGAGGGGCGAGAGAGATTACGCGCCACTGCCGCCGCAGTTCCCTGCCAGTTCTCCGCTCCGCGATGCTCCGTATAAGCGGTGTCTCTTCGCCCGACTAGCGTTCTAGCGCTTTACGTTCGCACGACGCCGCATAATTCGACCAAGCATCCCCGAGCGATTCTCGCGTACAAGGACGCGAGAAAGAGAAGAGGACCGAAGCAGTGACGCTGAACGAAGAATCGGTCGCCCACGTCGCAGCCTGTCATCTCACAGCGTTCTCAACGCACGCGGCGAGTTTCTCTCTCCGGTGACGGCTCAGATACCCGGTGCCACTCTCTACACCGACGTTGGAAAACTGATACATCGACAGGATGAACTACGGAGATTTATCGAACGCCGATCCTGCCAGGTATGTTGTTCTTTTTGTTTTTTTTTTTTGCTCCCTTCGGGCTTTGCCGTTGAAACGCGACCGACTGGTTTTACCCGTTTTACACCGAAACGCCGGGTTTTTCCTACCGCGGTATTTTAATATGTATAATTTCCCTCGACGCACACGCCCGTTTGATTTCATTCGTTTCCTCGGACAAACCTTTGCGAATCACACGGTCGCGGGGAATACATGGAGAGTGAATGTTGGACACGAGTCTATATTTGTTTTTCGAGCGTTTTTGTTTCGTATCGCACGCGAGGCGGTTGGCCAACATTTCGCGCGATATAGCGAGCTAATGAAATCGCGCTTGATCGTTACGACACCGATCCTGCGCCGCGTATGGCCGGGCGTTTAACGAGACTTTTCCCACATGACGACATATGCATGAGAAGAGAATTATTTTGTCACCCGACAATTCGACGCTGGCCAGATTGCTCGAGGGCTCGCGTATCGCTCGTAGATGCGCTCCATTTTGTAACATTGTAAAAGCAGGCAGCTCGTAACCACGTTATGTTATGGTTTTCTATTCTGTTTGTTGAGCTGTTTGCACGTTTTATGCAATACTCTAATGCTATATAGATGCACTTTCCTCGACGATTATCAGAACGGTCGTTTTGTTAGGCGCGGTTAGGCAACGGGATTCGAAAAGACTCGGGTGGAAATTTTCTTGCAAAATTGGAAGGTCTCGAACGAGGCGTATCATTTTACACTTGTCCTTGAGATTTTTTCCACACAATTAACCGTAGAATTTATATACAAGAAGCTACACAAATTGCACAATGATTGCAATGGAATTATTGTTGTATAAAGCTGGGAAACGTTAAATACATACGTAACTTCGTAATTATAGACTCGACGTAATTAATGACTTTCAATTCCGGCTTAGGTGTTTCCGGATCAAGCACTTTGCGAGAGTTGCGATTTAAAGTACGATATGTCTGCGTCCGACGTATGAAGGATCGAACGCAAGATCGAAAAATAAGAAACCGAAAAACAAATTATATAATATTAAAATAAATGAATATTAATCATGATTAAAAAATGTAGTTTTTGTTTGTTCAATAAATATATCTATAATTAGTAATGACGCCGGGCGTTCAAAATAAATACGTTATCGAGATTTTCTCTGAATTGAGATATGTACTTAGATTACATAGAACCGGATAAAACTTGAAATGCACTAGTTTCGCATAGTGAAACCGATAATATTATCTAAACGGTGTCACAAGTGCATTGTGTAACCTTTTTGAAAGATAATTGTTTAATTTATTTTTTAATTACTGAACAACAGAAAATGATATTTTTTACAATTTTTTTTAATTGATAAATAAACGTATGACGGTAAAAATTTATTAATTTAAATATTTCAAATATTTTGCGCGAAGTGCAATTTAAAATTAATAACATGCAAAAGAAGAGTTCTATTTTTGTGCAAACATAGACGCGATACATAGTTACGCGATTATATCAGCTTTCATTGATTTGCTGCGAACTATCCCAACCGTCCTCGTGCAGCACTCACGACTTCGGTTGAATCGAAAAGAAAATTACGTAATTGTGAGACAATATTTATTTTTTGAATAATTTATGATTGAATTACATTAATTTATTATTTGTAAATCAATCAATATATCATCCGCTACTATTTTTTTTATATTTCACTGTTTTGCAATTAATTTTATTCAATACAATGCCCAGGTAGAAATTTCCCTCGATCTTCCCTGAATATATACGGGCCCCGTATGGGAAATATTAGCTTGGAAAATGCGGACAGGTCTTGGCTTTTCGCTGTAAATTTTCCACGATTTTTCCCAGATTTTGATTAAAAAATATCTATCTGTATTTTTCCTGGATCTGACCGGGTTCGATCAGGGAAAGACCAGTATTTTTATTCTAAATCTTCAGGTTATTCTAACGGGGGCGGAATTCCAGAATAATTTCTAAGAAAAACTGGAAACAAGTCTGGGCTTGGGTACATTTTAGATGAAGGATTCGTCCATACCTGCCGTCCCCCATTACACATGGGTGCAAGCTAAATTTTTCGAACAGATCCAAGCTATACTCGGGGAAAAATATTCAGGCTTTCTCCCACACCAGATTTCTACCTGGGTGTCGATCAGTTATTAACGAAAAAATCCATTTTACTATTTAAAGTGTATTTTCGATAGAAAAGGAAAATTGAATATAATAAAAATAAAAGAAGACTAACAAGCTAAACATAAAATTGCAAATAAACCCGAGTCGAAATTTTATTCCTAATTTCAACCTCTATTTTCTTACGTTTACGGATTTTGGAGGATTTTGATAGGTTTCATTTATATAAGAATATGTATGTATTTGCTCCTATTTTGTGTCTCAAATAAATAGTAAACGAACTTTTTTCCATTTTGAGGTTTAAAAGAGGAGTTTTGGTAAAGAGTCAGAGGTTAAATAGGTTCAAGATAGGGTGATGTGACTGCTTAAAGTACGAAATTAGGCGTTAGATTGAACATTTTGGTCGAAAGTAGGTGTTAGATTGAACATTAAGGTCGAAAATAGGAGAAATATTTCGACTCGGGAATTATAAACAAAAATAAGGAAAGGATTATTATAAGAATGGCTGCTGTTATCGCAGCATTCTGAGTGTTTATTATTTGAAAATATTTTGTCCGTGATCGGTTGAAAGAAATTGAACGCGAGAGAACGGCGCGATTGGCGAAAGAAGCGGTCACGCGCGCACCGACGTGCAAAGTGGCACTCGCGAGAGTGAATTTGGAAAGAATGGCCGCGTAATTTTACGCGAAGCACGTCCCGCCTTTCGGTCTTGGTCATAGAAAGTCTGGCATTAAGTTCGTGACTTTACCCGTGACATTATTACCGCGACTTCGCTGACACCGCGCGAAGTTTTCTCGCAAATTATCAAAATCGTAATACCGTGAACGCCAGCCGATCTGTCCACCCATCCGAGCGAGACGGATCCGAGTAGAGAGTCGGAAAGTTACTCGTCGATTAGAGCCATTCGTAATGCGCAACGCTAAAGATTCTGGTCAAAGTTTTCTCCCGTTGGCACGCGGCGAAGCCGTGATTCTAAATGCTCGCCGTAATCCGACGATATCGATTATCAATTGTCATCGCTATGTTGAAAATTTTGACGATAATCACGCGCGACAAGATCCTATCTAATCTTTTTCTATAAGAATAAAGAAATTCTAGGTGGCTCATCGCCATGCATGCGTATTTAGGTGATTTCCGGTCCTCGGTGAAATAATCGAGTTACATTTGCACTTGGAACATTCGGATTGCATCTGTATTTCAGTATTTCAGTTTGCATTCTTGAACCTTGTATATTAATGTCAATCCTCATCAGTCTCATCAGTTTTACATATCGTGTCAATCACGACGCTTTTGCGTGATACTTTAATGAACAATAATGGTTTATCGCAGATTACAGAGATATTTATATTCTTTTAAGTGGCGTGTCATTTATAAGAGATTCGAAGATTATAATCGATGACTTAATGCGTCGGCCAAATGCCGGTTTATTTATATACAGGAAACAGCTTGTTATTATTATTGATGAAGAAACTAATTATTGTCTCATTAACGATAGAGTGAAGAATGTGTTTCGCGGCTCTCAATTTCCTCCGAAAGGGAGCTGTAAAACTTTCATTGTCAGCTTCAAGAAGGTCAAACAATCGTTTATTTTGACGAACTTGAAATGCCAATGTCGTAATACGGTAACCAACCGGGCTTCGAGTGTCGTTACAATGCACTTGTCGTAACACTCGTCCCACGCTCGCTGCTTGTCGCAATGTCTGTAACGTCGAATGCTTTGATAAAAATTTTAGGAATTTATTAATAAATCAATGAATTAAATAAGAATTTAATCAAATAGGCGAATATATATTTTAAAATTTCGAATGCAAATTCGATGCAAAATTTATGAAAGACGCTCGGGTCGTAATATTTTCATTTTATATTATGCATTGATTTTTAGTGATTTTCTCAAATCGATTGCATAAGAATATTGCTTTCCGTACTTTTTTCGTGTAAATTGAAGTTCGCTCTATAATCATTTTTGGGTGATACAATCACGCCAATTATATAATTCGCGCCAATTATATAATTCAAGCGTATCAACAGTGAGGAAGTATTTTTATTCTTAATGCAAACTACACGTGCGATTTTTCCATACCGTTTTTTAGCTAACTTTTCCCGCGGGTTAAAGTACCAGCAGGTTCTATCTCTCCGTTTGCAATTACGTGCATTACGAAACTTAAACGCATCGTAGAAAGTAAAGGCTTCGGCGGGGAAGATAATAAGACATTTCTGCAAAAGGACACAAAGGAAAATAGTGGGTTTTATTTCTCGCGTGTTTGATTACAGTGATCAAAGTGGAATCGCGTCTTTCGCTATTCACTCGCGAAGTATAGAATGTCGAGCAAAAGAAAAATTCATGTGTATTTTTACGCGTATAAATATATTTAATATTGTAAAATATTTCGAATACTCACGGCTTCGAAAATATCTAAGATTATGAAACGACGAGAAATTTTGAGAAGTCATGATATTTTCTTATTACATATTTCCAAACGTTTGCAGAAAATTAATGAAAGCTGAAACCTGTTTTCTGTCGCAAAAATGGCGTATTTTGTTCTATGTATATTATGTGAAATAATTCTAAATAATCGCTACTATGCAAAATAAATAGTTGCTCTTTTACATTGTTTTTTTTTAGAGAACTTATCTCTATCAAATTATAAAATCAAAATATGCAAATTATTCGGAAAATTAGTAAATATAATGTATTTTTGCATCTATTTGAAGAAGGAAAATTAGAATAAAAAACATACATGTAAATTGAAGCAAGCATTTTTTGTAGCATTTGCAATTGCAAAATTCTGACATAAGAGTAGATAAGACTGTTTGCGTATGCGTGCATTTATGCAAAATATTTATAAAAAATGGTGCAAACTATGGATTTCGGTATCAGAATTTAT